AATATTTTGTTGTTGTTTTTTGTAGTTAAAATATTGTGAACTAACATTTTAAGGTTGTAACGCCGATGATGGAATTTAAACCAATTCCGAAACATCCATAATTAAGTGTGTTTTTTTGGGGGTGGGGGTTTACCGTGTTTTTAATGAAACAGTTTCAATGCATCACAGTTTTGCAAAACATTTTGATAAAACTTCTAATTATATTGTTTCAAAGAGAGAGATGATAAGTGATGTTTTGCTACCGTCATAATATTCAGCGTTAAGCTGTTACTTACAACATCATTAGTGTAAAAACTGTCATACAATTGACGAAATACACTTCACTCATATTTCTGCGCTGAAGTGTTTGCTGTGTTGCAATAAGTGAAAACTAGAAACCATATTCGTAAAGTTAATGTTTCTAGGCTATTGTGTACGCAGTGTTTTAATATATGAAAAAAAGGTTATTATTTGTGAGGTTAATATGTTTTTAGTGTTTCGTACTTGTTTCATAATCAACCTAAATTGAAAGGTTACAGTCATTATTTATTTCCTGTTTGGTATGAATGGGTTACAGCCTTTATTTATTTCCTGTTTGGTATAAATGGGTTACAGTCATTCTTTATTTCTTGTATGGTATAAATGGGTTACAGTCATTCTATATTTCTTGCATGATATAAATGGGTTACAATCATTTTTTTTTACTTCCTGTATAGTATAAATGAGTTACAATCATGTTTTACTTCCTGTATGGTATAAGAAGGTTACAGTCATTCTATATTATATTTCCTGTTTTGTATAAATGGGTTACAGTCATTCTTTACTCTCTGTTCAGGGTTAGTAGCCCTGAATTCCATTTTCGAAATTGGAAAAGCTTGCGATAGAAGTGAATTAAGACCTACAGCTTCTCGATCATCAAGATAAAAATGAACGAAACCAATTCATCTTGTACCTTGAAAGCCTGTCAACAACTGTCACAAACATCAGTATGATCCGAAGACAACCCTCGTGGTACTTTTAATACATCAAATGTAGTGGGACAAAAAGAAAAACAGATTTTGGCGCCAGAAGAAGTGAGTTCTGAGGAAAAACTACATTGTTATGAATGACGACAGGAGACGTGATGATGAATAATCTCCCTTAAACAACTTATATGGGTACTCGTAAGTGCCCCAAGGCAGTTTTATACAATGGTAATAAAGTTTGAAACATCGTCCTGATCTTTCAAATACAGAAAGTAAAAGTACACATTGTTGTTCTTTTGTTCATCAAAAAAAAAATCACGTTAAACATAAAATGTTTTGTTTCCAAGCTCTGAGCGACGAAAAGAATCAGATTTAATTTAAATCGTCTTGTCCGTCTAGAAAGCTATTCATCAATGTTATACACAGTGTCTGAGATAGTTATTTGAAATCAATATCTATATAAATATAATAGTATTGTCTGTGGTATGTCCATGTAACTACTTTGCAGGGTGTGGATGGATCTTCACCAAATTTGGTATGTAGGTTTATCACGTCCATGCGGGGGTACATACAAATTTTTCAGTTTTTTTTGTTTTTATGGACTTTTTTCCGTTTTTTTACCACTATCTCACCTTCTGTGGATGGATCTTCACCAAATTTGGTATGGAGGTTCATTGAGTCCATGCGGAGATACATAATAACTTGCGGTTTCACATTTTGTGTTTTCCAGTTCTTATGGGTGTTTTTTTTTAACAATTACATATAAGGGAAGCAACTTTTTATGTCCTAAGATAACCTTTCATTAGTCATGAATTTACACAACTTCCTTCCAGGGTATGGATACTCCAGCTAGTAATTTCTAAAGTGGCATCCATTAAAAAAAAAGAGTGATTATGCTAACTTACCCCGTATATAGATAGGCAGGTTAAAGATTTAATAGATATAATATGAACAGTTTATGTTTATAAATACTACAATGCTTAGTTAAGCCTATTTTGAATTTCATGTCAATTATTAGAAAAATATAAACGCAATGAATTCTGAGTAGATTTATGGGAGCAGGTTGGTCGGATTACAAGTTAGTACTGAATTTTTATGTACAATACGTGTTTTAAGGTATTAAGCCTTCAACTGTCAATTTTAACAATGAGGAATGCAAATATAAAGACACCATTATTTTAAAAATAACGGTTACTAGCACCTACCATTGCAAAAGCCGCAGCGCCACCCTCCACGTGATCGTTGTCCAGACTAGAATGCTCAATATCCCATTTCCGCTGTTGCTTAACAGCTTGTTTCTGCATGTGTGACCGCGAGGCGTAGTTGACCAATGCAAACTCCAGTAGAGCTCCAAACACGAAAGTCAAGCAGACTCCGGTCCACACATCAATAGCCTTAGTGTAGGATACAGGCGGAAGTGACGCATTAATACCGGACGTTTGTGTTGCCATTGTGAGTAAGGTGGTGACACCTAGTGAGACTCGTGCAGGGATGGCGTTTTGGTCCAGCCAGAAGGATACCCAAGAGACGATGACCAGCATGCAACAAGGGATGTAGATCTGGATCAGATAGTAGCTAAACTCTCTCTTAAAGATCAGATCCACTCGGATGCAACTGTACTCTCCTTAAAAAGAAAAACAACAACAAAGAAGTGGTTAAAATGGCTGCAAAAGAAAGAGAAGAACGTGTTCAACGTTTCACCCAAATAGCTTTCATCATGGAGGAGGTCCAGATGGAGATAGTGTGGCCGAAAAGATGAAAGTATTTTTTTCTGTTTCCCTTAAATCGATCTTAACCTCTCTCTCTTTTTTTTGTGTGTTATCAGGTTAAGTCAGATCCTAGGCGCGCTTGTTTTATATGTGTGTTAATTTTCTATGAGAGGGAATGTTAAAAACCTCAACAATATTCATACCATACAGGAAATATAGAATAACTGTAACCCATTTATACCATACAAGAAATAAAGAATGATTGTAACCCATTTATACCATACAAGAAATAAATAATGACTGTAACCCATTTATATCATACAGGAAATATAGAATAACTGTAACCCATTTATAAAAAATGTAAAATGGATGTAAAATAAGGGAAATATATCATGTTAGTCCTTGTAATCCCTGACTGACTTGATTGGATGGGATTGAATTTGACAGTAACCTACAAGATGCTTGGAATATGACTTTGTTATCCCAATTGTGAAGAGTGAAAGGGTAATACCATAAAGTTATCCTATTCCATTATTTCAAAAAACCAGAATACCTTGTCGAATTGTGGTATTCTGGGTGACGTTGCAATGATCGAGATCTCTCTAAGCTTTCCAATGCATCATGCTATACTGCGCGATATTTTGAGTGGAGAGTGTGTGACAAGTGATCTCCTTGGCAAATCTAAAATCTGAACCGGAATCCGACTGAATCACGTTCTTATTATTTTTAAAAATGAGACCTGACACAAAAGAGTCAGATCCATACATCTCTCCATGCTTGATGTCGTCTTCTAAGAAGAGTTTACGAACACCTAGCGTCAGGTAATGGTATTAGAGTTCATATTTTAGCATATCCTTACAATTGGTTCATTACATATTAAAAAGAACCTCCTCGGTATCAAGGTGTGTTTCCTCAGTACCTTTGGTAATATAGCGTATGCACACATTGTGCATTTTCCAGTCTGCAAATCTAGCAAGAAGTAAAAAAGAATTCGGGAATTGCGAATGTCCGGACATAGCGTAGAAACGCAGATGTGACACCAGTTGCATCGACAAAAATATTTCCAAATTTATTAGGATAGAATATCCAAAAATGAAGGATGTAATTAGAATACACGTGAATTTGCATATTCTGAGCATCCGTAACCTTAATAACACTTTGAAGATGTGAATGACCAACTTGTACAATATGTATTAATTACATGCGCTTTACTCACGACAAGATGGTGAATTAACCTTAACATTATATCAAAAATATATATATTCGAAAGCTTAGTGATGAGTTTCATTGTAAATACAATTTTGAATTGAATACATTTTATTAGGATTTATATAAATGGGTTACAATAATTTTTTACTTTCAGTTACAGTCATTTTTTACTTCCTGTATGGCATAAGAGGGTTGCAGTCATTCTTTATTTCTTGTATGGTATAAATGGGTTACAGTCTTTATTTATTTCCTGTTTTGTATAAATGGGTTACAGTCTTTATTTATTTCCTGTTTTGTATAAATGGGTTACAGTCTTTCTTTATTTCTTGTATGGTATAAATGGGTTACAGTTATTCTATATTTCCTGTATGATATAAAT